CTTGGTCTTGCAGGAGTGGACTGGATGAACAATATGATGTGGCGTTTTGTACGTGGAGATGCACGGCCTGCAGAGATTGACATGATTTGGGAGATCAGTAAGCAGATTGAGGGTCATACTATCTGTGCCCTGGGAGATGGTGCGGCATGGCCAGTGCAGGTATCCACATTTGCTGTAAACGGATCAAGAAATAGTTGATATTTTGGCAGCTGCTGTATCTGTTATTCGTCTGCTTTAAGATTAATGTACTATTTCCCTTTGTGTTTTCTTCTCTGTGTTCCCAGGGATTGATCAGACACTTCAGGCCTGTGATGGAAAGCCGAATTTCTGAATACCAGCAGCAGCAGCAGGCCAGGGCTTAAATGGCTCCTTTCCTTGAATTTCTTCTTCTGCCTCATATGCCCTCTATCCCATGTGTGTCAGTGACAAATTATTTAAGAGGATAATGTGCCGTCTTTTCACCATCAAGTTTCACATTGATGTGTCTGCCTTGTCTGTTAACATTACCAATAAAGTTCTATGAACCTGAAAAATCTTTTAACTTATTGTTTTGACATTAGATGTATTGTATAGATTTGTCTTTTTAGTGTTTAGTGTACTAATTTTTGCATTTAAATGACTATAATGGAATCACTTGAACCGCCAGAACTACTACAAAGCTACCACGGTAAAGAAGTATGTTGTAATGGAGATGTTGAAAATACAGTATTATAAGTAACCAAGGCAGAGCATTGAAGCCAAATATAGATATTGATTTAGAGATGAATAACTGAAGTTATACAAAGTTGTGCAGTAGACTAACAGCCTGTACAAATTATGATACAGCAGATGAAAGTGTATTTGAAAACAGTGCAAGAATAAAATTTATAATATAAAACTAGAGATATAAAATCAAATAAAGATAAACAGAGGCAATAATGGTGACTGTCTTGAACTTAATTAAGGAACAATAAATATTAAATGACATGACATCCATCTTTGCAAACAGTCAATGCGGCAAAGCAAAAATAAAAAGGTCCGGCGCAGCCAGAGGTAAACATAAATATGAGAAAAACATAAAATGCATATAAAAATGTTTTAAAATTAGCAATAAAAAATCTCCCTAAATGTAGAATGATTTTAAAAAAAATCACTGTTCCACCTTTTAAGAATTAGTTTCTGCAGAAAGTTAAAACCACTGTCGTAATCTCGCGATAACTCAGTGCGCTGCAGCCTCGCCCGTGTCACGTGACGTGGGCAGACCCTCCACCGCGGCTTCATCTCTGTGGACGCCTCGAACGGTAAGAAATGGTTCCCGTGTTTGAATTGTTTACAAATCCGGAAATCTAAATCGATCAAAATGACACAAACAGAGCAACACACTCAAACACACATTGTCAGGATACAAGAGTCTCGTAGGTTTTATCTGAGCACGTCTCCTCCCTCCATCTTTCTGTCAGCTAGCTCCGGCCTGATGCTAGCTGTTCTATCTCATTACTTCTGTGACCAACGTTTATATAAATAAAACACCACCCTGTAACCGGATGTTTATTCGTCTTTGGGACAAAGCGGAACACATCTTCTTGATTACGCTAGCTGAACGTTAGCCTGGTGTGGTACATGTGTCGGTTCTGCTTTGCCCGCAAACACAACAATATGTGCAGCGGGTTTCGAACGTGTACACAACAGAAGCGTGTTCCTGTGTTGCAGCTCCATGTGGCCGGGACGTGCGTGAAAGCAACGGCATGGAAATGTTGAAGATCGAGCAGGTCATTGTTGGGAGCGAGAAGAGAGCCACTCAGGCGGAGATCAAGCCGGGGCCCGTGGTCAACCCTCTGCAGTCCTGTAAGCTAACATATTCACTGTGTGGTTCATACCTAATGTGATGCTAACATATTCATATTCACTGTGGTTCATACCCCAATGTGATGCTCTGAACCTAATTCCTGAGTGATGGACCAGACATGTGTTAATACCCTGTAGTTACACAATCTGATTATTCCACTATGTTGTTTGCACCCATCACAAAACTACCTGTCTTCCCATTGTGATGCAGATCAGCATGAGAGTCTGCAGTGTTTTCAGTGCTTCATCACCTTCTCTGACTTCAAAGCCAAGGAGAGACACATGAGGAAGAGTCACCGGGACCAGTACAAGATGCAGCTGCAGCAGGTGGAGAGAAGTAGACTAACAATACCTGCTCAAGCTTTGAAGTAACAAACTGAGCAATTAATCTGAAATCCTTCATCATTAATTTAACAAGTGAAGATTGCTTTAACGAGGGGTGATGAAAATGCCCATTATAATTGCTTAAAGAGCAAGTTCATATATTTAGCAGCTTATTTCGTCCACCAAAAGCAAAACATATTTATTGTTTAGCACCACTGAAAACTAAAAGCAGATATTTTTCTTCTTAAATGACAAATGATTTATTCATTATGCATACTGCTGCTAAATAGAATCCACGTACTGACTAATCTAATAACTGGAGGTCAAAATTGGACTTTCCTAAAAAATAATCTATATTTCCGCGTTGCAGTTTCCCTTGTCTTGCTGATACTCTGTCTGAGATAAGCCAATATTTCTCAGGCTCTAGCAAAGATACTTGCATTCTGCATATTCTCTTGGTTCTAATATAATTCTATATCAGTATAGAGATGTAATTTGACTTGACTATATCTGGTAATAGATTTGTATTATTTTCTCTATTGTAAAGTTCTGCAATTCTTTAAAAAATGAATCAGTGAATAGAGTCTTGTGTTAGAATTTAATAATTTTTAACCATCTTTCTGTTCATTATTTTACAGTCCAATACACTCTTTACTTGTTACAAGTGTGACAAGTCCTTCTCCTCCTCTGAGGAGCTCAGCCTGCACCAGACTTCCCACAACACAGGAGAGAAGCCCTTCCTCTGCACTTACTGTCAGAAAACCTTCTATACTTTCACTGAGGTGAGGGCACTGCAGCCTGCTCTATAAGTACACTATAGTTGGCTTTGAAAATGATAAAATAACTTGTTATTGTGCTTGATGTGTGTTTAATGTCTTCATGCAGCTGAACAAACATAAACGACACGAATGCATAGAGCGACGGTGTCCGTGCAGGGACTGTGGCGCCTTGTTTCCTAGTCCTTCTCGACTTCGCAACCATCGCGTTTCTGTGCACCCCCAGAGTCCAGTGGTGGCTGATGACATCAACACCTACCAGTGCTGTAAATGTGGTCATGGTTTCCAGACAGAAGAAACGCTCCTGCAGCACCAGGAGAATTTTGCTAATGATCTAAACTGTGACACTAAGGTGCAAGGTAAAAAACGTGGCCGTAAACCCAAGGACACAACTCAAGGATACGACGGCAAGAAGATCAAAAAAGAGAATGAGAATGAAACAGATGACTCTCCGACAGAGGGGTGCTACTCCAACGAGCTGCAACCAGAACTCAAGATCCCTTGTCCCGAAGCAAATTGTGACCTCATATTTCCTTCTGTTGCAGCCCTTAGGGCACACAAGAAGGAGGAGCATGGGCCTCCTCTTCGCAAGACTCAGGAAGGAACAGAGTGTGACGAGAGCTACGCTCAACCACACATGACTAGGGCCCAGCGCTCTGGACACACCTGCCCCACCTGTGGAAAGAGCTTTGCACGAGAGAGTGCCCTAAAGGTCCACCAGAACACCCACACTGAGGGTGAGAATGCAGCAGAAAATAGATAATATACATGAAGAAAAGACTGCAACCTGAACCTACAACACTCAGTTAAATGATTGTCAGAATATTTCTTACAATATTCTTTACAGTAGGAAGAATCATTTTATGTAAGTGTTTTACTGGGAGATTTTTTAAACCAAGGTTAGACAACATGGCAACAACATAATTTTCCCCTTGCTTTTAAATAGACATCCTACACTTGTGATTAAAGCTATGTACATGTTATGTCTTCTCTGAAATATCACAAGGCCTTTTTTCTGCCCATATTGCCTCTGTTCCTGAATTGTTTTATATTCATTGTAGCGTTCCTAGCTTATTTTCTTGTTCATTTTCTGGAAAACTGGTAAATATGACAACTACGTGGAAGATGTACAGTAAATCGAAAACATAATGAAATCTGATAAATGGCCTTTTTTTCCTTCCAGAAGTAAATAATTGTTGCATTAAACAGTGCATACAGCTCTTAGGAGTTTTGTCTTACTGCTTTTTCTGTCTGTGTGAATGTCTTAAAAGATTCTTATAATTTGTTCTTCATGCAGTAATACAGAATAATATTCTACCACTGAATATTCTGTATTTAGGATTTTATATGACTTATTTGGATTTACCATTGAGGAATATAATGATAAACAACTGTCTTATATATTGTTCTTTATTTAAAGAAAGGGCATAAAATATTGTCTGTCACTATTCTCACTGCATACTATGTATTAAGCTATGAATTTTCTTTTTTTCACTCTTTACAGAGGAAACGGGCATTTCACAAATTATTCATATGCAGATGCAACTATATACCTTGGGTTAAATGAAGCCATACCCTTTAAATAATTTACTGAAATCCTGTTGTTTCTTTGAAAATACTTGTTCTGTTCTTTAAATAAAAACTATATGGATCCACTTCTAATTAGATATTTTTAAAATCTAAACTGAAATGGCTGAATAAACAACTAACATTTAATTACCACATGGGTGTTATCCTATAACTTCTTGATTAATACTGATCTGTTTAGTTAATTTAACGCAGTCTAAATATAATGATATTTGAATTCATTTTGAAGGTTTCGACAAGGCAAAAAGGGACACTCTCCAAAATGTTCTGAAATCTATACTCAAAACAACCAGTCACTTTTCCAATAATATATCAGACATTTATGGTGAGAAGAAAAAGCACTTGTATAATAGAACCTTACTACCTGACGTGTTATAGCTGATACTGAATGTTGAATAAATAAAAGATGAGGTCTTTGTCCCAGGAGCTGAGCACAATAAATGATCCACACAAGCACACTCGTCCACTGTGTCGCACAGTGATCGAACATGTGTCGCTCCCTGTCGGCGAAGTTCGTTTTCCCATGATGCCTCAGTGGTTGCTCTCTAACTCGCGCCCTCGGTCCATCTTACCTCTCCGCAGTCTCCCTCCGCCCGCGCGCCCACCGTGTTGTTGTGGTAAATAATGGCGGCATCGGGAGGAGGATTACCATCTCCCGCTACCGCAGCGGGCTCAAACATCCAACACCCGGCCCGGGCTCGCTTCCCAGGCCGGCCGTGGGCGGCTCGCAGCAGGCTGCGGTCGGAGAAGCGCACCAGACGCGGAAGGCTGGGCTCGGATGACGGGGAGCTGGCTGTCGAAGGGCCGAGGCCCGTGAACATCGGGCTCGCGTTGAGCGAGGATCCGTCCCTGCTGCGCCTGCTCGGGGTGGCGGAGAAGCACAGGCGGCAGAGAGATGCGGGCTTCGAGTCCAGCAGCTGCAGCGAGGAGGTGAATAAGCTAACGTAGCATGTCAGCTGCATTGATATCACCGAGCCTAACGTGGCAAACTAACACACCCTGTTTTAAATGTAAAGCACTTTGTTTGCTATTTAAAGTGTTTAAGCTAACACGGAGCTAGTTAGCGGTAGCTTGCAAACACCAACCCTGTAAACATCGTAGCTAGCTAGCTGCGGGGTACGCTTCAGTGGTCGATGGGTGAATACCCCCGCACATATTAGTTATTCATTGATTTGAAATGACCGTAAGTTGCCTCAGTCTTTCACACACACACACACACACAGATCGGTGTCCGTGCAGCTGCGGGTATGCATGAAAATGGCTTAAGGCGGAAACTTCGGTGGGAATGGAAACAGCAGTGGATGCGTTTTGTTGTGGAAACCAGGATATGTCTTTGTTTATCCAGCCCCTGAAAACAGTTTGAGATCCCACCCTGTGCTGGCACACACACACACACACACACACACACACACACACACACACACAGACACACACAGACAAACACACACACACACGGGCTGCTAATCTCGTCGTAGCTGATTCGTGGCTGCAGATAACTTGGGGACTTCTCCCCCTGTCAGATGACAACTCGGTGTTTTCGTCGTGGGCTGCAGCAGGAAGGCAGACAGGGACGTTACCCACACGTTTGATCACAAAGCACGGTTTTGGTCATTCTCTCAAAGAAGCTTTCACAGTGAATGTTAATTATAAGACTTAGTTTAACACGGTTCACGTTGTTGATGTTTAGGTGAAGTATTAAAAGAGATATGTGTGTTTCTTATGCTATGCATGCTTTCACACAAGTTCAAATCTAACTGCAGGTACGATGGATTAATATGCACGAGAGGGTAGCAAGTGTGAAATCTTGATGTTGTTGCAGTGAGTGAACTGAAGTTGATAATTACACTTTTGTGTAATTTTGACTTTACTTTCTCTATATTTGGTGCTAGCAACTAGAATCGAGGGCTGCAGCTTGCTATTGATTTCATCATTGATTCATAATTTGATTTCCACTGTGCCACAGCACTGTGGGAAAAGCCCACAAATAGCTACACTTCAAAACCCTCAAAAATATAAATTTTTTCAACCAGACATCACAAAGAAGTTATGAATAATGAATTTCCAGCTTTCTATATAGCTGCAAATTAATTTTCTGTCAGTTGACTAATCATTGATGAAGTATTTAATAATATGATATAAACAACAAACGGAGAATTTAGATCTGTCAATGTGCATTCATGTTGTCTCACAGAGGCCGGTGTGTGATAGCCTTTGCTACTAAGGTGGTCAACTTTCAGCAGAAGCTCGGCAGGTGGGTTGTGATAGTATTACATTCCAAATAGAATCTAATGATATTATTTAATCTCCAGCCCAGGAGCTTTAGTGTCTGACATCAGTCAGATTTCACTGATGCAATCCCCTTAGTGTGCACTGTAACACAGTCACATGGCTCATGCTAAAGCTTGTGGGTGATGCTCGACTGGAGCACCGCACGTCACTTGGTGCCACACACTCTCATGCTCTGCAGCTGTACTCGACAAATTTCATCACAGGGCCATTTTGCATGTGAAGATGGATGTGAGTAATTTGAAACCAAGTTGAAGTGTGCTTTTGATGAAGTGTGCAGTCTTAGCATATGAGGTAGACAGATGTCTGAATTAGAGGAAGCTGGAGGCGGATTTTTCTTCTTAAACTTTGTTAGTATTATATGTCGACTATATTTTCAGGAAGTGACCATATTGAAATGGTGCAGTTTTCTATTTCAGATGCTACATTACAGTTAGATTGCATCATGTTGCACCTTACTACAATTGACATGTGCACAGAGGGTGCACAGGTGGAAAATCTTAGTTATTTCTCAAGGAGTAAGAATGCTGAGGCAGTAAATCTCCCACATACTCAGAAACCTGAGCACCTGCTGAACCAAATCACTATTTTAGCTTGAAAGGAAATACGTATTACACCATTTCCTTCATTACACGGCAATGCTCTAAATTATGGCACTGTTGGATATTTAATATATGGTGTTATGTAATTATTTTGTGTCCATTTTCATCCCTATATTTAATAGAAGAATATTGCCAGATAGAATCTAATGTTTTATTTAGGTAAATGCTTTTACCTGGGCCTGATAGCTGAATACTTAGAGCACATAACACATGGGCCTACATGTCCTGAGCAGCACATCCTTGGTTTGACTCCTGTGCAGCCAGACAGTTTACAGCATGTCATTCCCCTTCTCTTTCTCCTATTTTGCTATTTAACCCTCAACGTTTTCCCTTTTCTGTTTTTCTCCAGGAGGACGATTTCCCTGGATTTGGGACCTCTACAGTTTGTCCTAAGAAAACGTCTGGCACTGTTCCTCGGCCTTCGTCACTCCGCCAAGCAAAGTCTTCCCGTGCTTCGGAACATTCCCCAGGAACAAAATATCTTGATGGAAAAATTACACCCAAGACCCCAAAACCAGCTCTGATTGGGAAAATTGTACCGAGGCTTCACAAAGAAGGCCAGGGTGTCAAAGAGAGCCCAGTAGAAGACAAACAAATACCCAAGATGATAATTAAAGTGCATAGCAAGCAGTTAGTACTCCCCACAAAAGCCAAACATATAGATGAGCGGGCCTCAGGCAGCCAGAGTAGTACACGATCAACTGTCTTTACAAGGAAAGCAGCAGGAAAAGGCGAGTCAGGCAGAATGCACAACCAAACATCTGGTGGCGTCACGGCAAAAGAAGAAGAAGAAGAAGAAGAAGAGGAGGTTTCAGAGGACTCGGACTCAGACCAGTCCCAGCCACACAGCTCTCTGAAACCACTTGGGCACACCAGAGGCACATCTCAAGCAGTTGCTCTGTCATTTACATCTTTCCACAGACGGCAGAGGAAGAGAATTGTTAAGAGTACTGGTGCCTCTCCGGAGGCTGGAGCCGAGGCTGGTGCTCAGAGTGGAGAGGAGGCAGCAATGCCCCTTGAGTGTAAAGCTGAAGATTCCCCAAAAAAACGAATTCACAAAAGAGCGCAGAGAAAGTCTTTGTATGGGTACAAGAGAAAGCCACCGCCAACCATCAGACGACCGAAACTGGGTCGTACTCGCACTAGGCGTGTTTTTTACACATATGTACCAGAGGCCATTCCAGCCACAACGACGGAGGACGAGAACAAGGAGCAGCTGCAAGAACATAATATCACACAATCAGAAGGTGAACACAGCTCGTTTTCTGAACAAGTCCAGCAGGGCTCCAACTCCTCCACTCCTTTGATGAGCGTACGGTCCTCTCGTGTTATTAAAACTCCAAAGAGGTTCTTGGATGAGGAAATGATTCCTTTTCCAAAGGGCCCTTTTTCAACATTGCTGAAGAGTCAGCAGAGAGAGGACGGAAAACCAAGTGCATCACCTCATGAGTCAGGTTATGATGGCAACTCACTACTGTCAGACAGTGACTCTTTATCCATTTACAACAGCCCGTCTGCTGAGATGAAGTTTTCTCCGAAGCCCAGTTCAGGCACGAGCCACGTAGAGATTTACAAGAACCTCAAAAAACTGACCTTGAAACTGGCAGAGAAAAAGAGAGGCCAGTGTGACACTCCGGAGGATCATATGTATCACAGCGAAGGCTTGAGCTCTCATGTCAAGAAGAGGCGGAGGTCAAAGCTCATGATGGAAGAGCTGGATATGGACTCTCCTGGTGTTGTGAGGAAACTTGCAGTGGTGGTGAACACTGATGCGGAGAAGCCCTCTCAAATGCCGTTTGAAGAGAGTGGAAGCAATAGTAAGAATTGTTTTTCCCTTTATTTGTAATTTAGAAGCTCTTGCTACTTAACTCTGTACCTACTAAATTTCCCTCTGGATCAATAAAGCATCTATCTATCCAACTGTAGCCATGTTTTTACAAATTTAGCTTAACTGGAAAATATGTTTTTTGGCTCAGCCAAGACGCCTCTTTATTTATGTAATAAGTAATTTAGCTTTACTGGACAGTTTAGTAAACAGCTTGAAAAAGTTGTTTTATATAATCTGACACATGGAAGCAGTTGCTTCACCATTTGGTTCATCGGTGTGTTTCTGAAATGTGGTTTATAATTATGAGGCCTTTTGGTTGTACATCATCTAACCAGAGTTTCTTTGTTCCTGCTCTTTGGTACAGATCAAGCAGTAGGCATGACGGGGGAGGTTCAGGAGACTTTAGAAGTCAGTGGGCCCAGCCATCGAATAGGTCTCAGTGGAGCTAATAAGAGGATGCTCCACCTGCTGAAGAAAGCCAAAGTCCAGCTCATCAAGATTGATCAGCAGAAGCAGCTCAAGTTGTCTCAGGTAAGAATCCAAAACATCAAATCTGTGCTGAAGGAGAATTTTGCAGACTTACACATTGTCAGTTTACGATAATAAGATTATAAATTCAATGCTCCTCATCAGAGTGATGATTACACGTTGTAAATAGTTGGAAGGGCACTTAAATCTGTAGAGCTGAAGTGATTAGCCAATCTGACAATAACTACTAATTATTAATGTTGATGAATAATGACTGAGTTTGGATCACAAGCTCTTATTTAATGAGCTACTAGGATTTACGTGGTGGTGCATTTATAATGAATAGTGTCGATGCTTGTGCTGTGTATACCACGGACAGCCAACTTTATTTTTTATCTTGAAAATGTTATGCCTGTAGGGTTTCAATATCCTACTATATTATCATTAATGGTTTTTCTTTTTCTTTAGGACATACCTATAGTATGATAGGATTTTTGAACTGTGCATGATCTCATCTTCTGGCTTTAGATTCTCTCTGTGGCGTTATTGTTTGTGGCGCTGACCTTTCTGATTTGGATGTTCGTTATCATAACAATGTTCAAAGCATTTGAATCAGTCATATTACAATTATAATATGTTTTGTTTCCTGGCTTTGGCTTTGAATGAGAATGTGTCGCTTTTCTGTTTCATATCATTACGAATTGAATACAATTTTCATTTTTTACTGTTTATCATAAAACCTTTTTTTTGTCTGCACCAATAGTTGGGCTCCAGAGAATTGCAGGGGCCAGTGAGTGGAAGAAGGAGGAGAAAAGTTGGTACATCTCCTCAAGATACTAGTCCTCAGGTAATGCTTTTACATTAAAAAATGGGAGTTTTTACATATACTGTATATATTTGGATAAATCCACAAAGCGTCTTATGTTTTTGTGTGTCTGTGTATGTTTGTGTGCACACAGGAGCAGCCACTGGGTGGTCCAAGGATCAAACACGTCTGTCGGGCAGCAGCGGTGGCTTTGGGGCAGCCCCGCGCCATGGTGCCAGATGATATTCCCAGACTGAGCGCCCTGCCACTGCACGAGAGAGAGGGCATCACCTTCTCTCCCGCAACAGAAGGTACAGTGTGTCTACAGAAGAGTGCAAAAATGAATTTCCCTTTGTCTTAACTCGATGATATATATTCAGAATTAACTTTAAAATCAGCTTAATTTTTACAATGTGCACATGCAGGAATTTCCTTACTGTGTAAACTTTGTAAATGGCCAATACAATTATCATGATATGCATCATCATGTATTTGTAATTGTAAATAGCAGGTTAACTATTCTTAGTTTGCAATGTATTTGGAAAGTCACGTGTGTGTGTTGTCTTTTTCTTTTGGACCAACAAAGAAAACCGGTCTTTGATGACACAAGGGAAATTATGCTGCTTACAGATATGCTGAATAATCTTCTTCAAAGTTTTAATTATTCAAGGAATGATCTCAACCAAAGAAGACGTGGTCGTAGAAGTACAGATTATACAGTATATAGTAATAGTACAGGGTATATGCAAGTCTGAATTTGTTTTCACAAAAAGTAATTAGAAAGTCTTCAGCATTAATTAATGTTTGCCATGATATGTTTTTGAATTCCATTGTGTGCTGTTGGGAGATGTGTTCCCCTATGAAGCTCCTACACTGGATTATTAATTTTCTTTTTTGTGGAGTTTCAGTCAGACCTATAGCAAACAAACGCCGTCACTACCATCAGCAACAGAAACTGTTAATATTTTAGAAATGGTGTCACCATTGCCCGGAGCATATTTTAATTACAATTCTCCAAAAACAGTTTATTTATCTTATGGGTTGGTTCAAGAAATTAATATTGGCCAATATTACAATATTACTCTTGGCCTACAATAATATTTCAGGTTATATTAAATAATTAAGATTTCAAGGCACCATAGTTGTCCTTATTCATCATCCATCATACTTTCATATTTTAGCTTTATGGTCACAAAAATACGTATTATACAACATTCTATGTGGTATTTAAAGAAAGTTTTTAATAATTGCAACCCTGGAATAGGCAGGATTACCTCATCATTTACAGAATTGATACTGTATATAACATCCTGTCTGGTAGGTAAACATTATGTATTTTTTGAAAATGCTAAATTCTGACTGTCCGTACTCAAATTTAATTCTGCCATTTTATGTTTGGCAAAGCTGCTTTATTAGTGTATTATGATAAAAACAATCACTGGCTAAACTATTCTTTCAAACTGGCATAAATAAACTTCTGTAGTTACAAGCACAAATAAAGAAAATATTTCTTTAGAAAACCACAGTTTTTATTGCTTTTGGCAAATTTAACCTGCTGAGCAAAAGAAAAACTGCTTTGTTAGTTCAATGTAGTTGTAACAAAAATATTTTCCAGCAAAAATATCTTTTGTCACACACAGATTAGCCACCGCTGTTGGAAAGCTATACCCAACACTGGTCGAGTGAGCATCACTCAGTATGAGGTGAGGAAGTGCTGTTTGACAAATAGACTCACTACCCTGAATTTTTTTTAACCTAATCTAGTACCCTTGGGGAAAATGGAGCCTTAAGCAAGGTTATAGCAGCTACATTATTGATTTAAAATGATTCCGCCTGAAAGTCTCCACCTCTGAGTATTTTCTTTGTGTGAAGTTGCTTTGTGCCAGCTTGCATTAACATATTACCACTGAAGGATGCAGGAGGCTGTTTCAAATCTGCTCCAGTAGTTCTTAAATCTGGGTCAGTCCACCAGCAATGGATTTCTCTCCTGATGTGTCCTAGAGTGACTTTTAGGAGTCGATAGTAACCAGTAGCCATAGAAACCAAGCTTGGACAAAAGACCAGTAAATAAGAGTATATACATAAATGAACACCTCCAAACACAGCAGTTAGAACTGTAATGTCTCCTGCAGAATGAATAGTAAGTTCTGGCATCCAAAGATGTCGCCCCCACCACATCACATGTATGTAATAATGTTTGAATTATCTGCCGGAGCTTTTTTACCCATCCTCTCCGTCTCTCGCCTGCAGATGTGGCAGATGATGACGATGACGTCTCTGATCATGGCAGGGCTCAGTGGGTTGTCTCACAGGAAAACATCCAGCGCAGGAGGATGGGAAAGGGGAGGGGCCACAAGTTTAGAAAGAGGAGGATAATGAGACGATTTGGAGGCGTGGGGTCCCGCTCCCGGCGCTGCAGGCGTTGCAAAGGCTGTCTGATAGAGGTGGACTGCGCCAAGTGTGTCAACTGCCTGGATAAGCCCAAATTTGGAGGGCCCAACACCAAGAGGCAGTGCTGCATGTGAGTTTAACAAGTCATCAATTCATATTGTTTTGTGTAAAGAGACACACACTGATGATAATGCTAGTTTTCCTGCACAAGGTAATCATAGAACATAGAACTGCAACATCAGTATCGAAATAAATCAGTAAACTTTTCAAAATAATGAAAATCTTGATTATAGATCTTAATATTTGCTGGCTTTGTCTTTGAAAATGGACTTCAGGTGATCAGATGTCAGTCAGGTGATGAAATGTCTCGTCAGTATAGTTCAAGTAGCCATGTCAACTTTTACAGCTAAATGCATTCATAGAAGGGTACACATGAGCTTTACTCAGGATATACAATCACATGTGAAAGCTTTTTTTTTTCCTGCTTCCAGATACAGAAAGTGTGACCAGATTGTGAAAGCGAAGATTCAACGCGTTGTCAGACCACTGAAAGGTATGTCACGATGTCATAATTACATGATGTTCCTGCTGTGATTTATGCCCCAGTTAGTTTTTCAGTTACAACTGATGAATTAGCAAAAATTAATAGGGATCAAAGCAACTTAATAGGATACCCAAATATTTGTTTTGTGTACGTAACTAATTATGGAAATACTGTTTCTCAGGCCATGAGAGGCGGATGTCAGGCTCTATGTCGAGCAGTGACACCGGGAACTGGGAGTTTGGAGTAGAAGGCGAGGGTCCGTCGTCAGTGACCCCTGGAATCAGAAAACAGTCCCTGCGTAACATCACACCGCGCTCCTACAGCAGCCTGCTTAAATCCGAATCTGAAGAAGAGGAGGGAATAGAAGAAAAGGGTGACGAGGATAAATCAACAGCCAAGGCAAATGTAGCTGCTGCTGCGAGCAACCAAGGTAATTAAAGCTTTTGCTGTTAATATGACTCAAACCTGTTAATGTATCTTTACATTAAAGACACCAAGCGAGAGAGATCTGATCAAATTAAATCCTTCTCTTTGAGCAAAGTCACTTGATAGACCTGCAAAACCTTCATGCACACCGGTTCAGTTACTGTATCTCAATTAATAGCATTTACATAACTATTCAGTGAAACACCCACGACAGCATATGCACTAGCACTTCTACACAAAATTGCAATTCAAGAGGTTTAAATAAAAAAATTTGAATCCTTAAATAATTGTACAATCTCTCTGAAACCCTTTAGTACACATACAACTTTTGACTTGAATCTGTTTATTTTCTTTTGGAGATCTTGCTAATCAAGACTGGAGATCAGTGTCGGATGAACCTGCACCTGAGGTGGTGAAGCATCGCCGGCTGTTCTCCAGAGGAGTCGGGAGCAGACCCAGAGCAAACAAGGTAAAACCATTTAGAGGAGTTCTCTCCCCTTCCACTTCACTATCTAATATAGCCTGGGCAGACTGTAACTTTGGGGTTTGTGTTAACAAATTTAAACAATACAAACTGTTTGAATCCTGTATTTCTTCAACAAATTGCCACTTAAAATAAAGATTTTGACGCACACAAAAAATTATAATTATTTAGACAACAATAAAAAACAATAACTTTCTAATAACAGTTTTGCCCAGGTCTGTATTTGATTCTTTCTCCTTTTCAAATTAATCATCTGTGCTTGAATGAATGATTCTAAAAAAAAAAAAAAACAGCTTTAACATTTTACCTGGCTTATCTCCCATTTCTGACTTTTAAGTTTCTCCTCCTTTATAAACACCTTGCATGAACCTAACCTCATGTTTTATAATTAACAGAAGAATTCAGCTCTGTTCATGGTAAAATGCAATCCCTTTTCCCTTGTGGTAGAAACACACAGCACCCAGTCCGTTCACGTTGTGTTTGAGGCTGTACATAATAATGATGGTTGATGATAGTAATATTGATTATCTTTGCTGCACCTGACTTTTTGCTTTGGCTGATTGAAGTTGGCATAAACACTAATAAAGCACATCATTTATTTCTAACCTTTAAATCTCAAAAGCTTGAATCATCTGTTATGCTGCATAGTTTTTATAATCCCTGAGATGCCGCTTGAATTTATTTTTATCTCTATTTGTTGGTTGCAAATTTGCAATGCTGTTTGTTATTTGAAGTTATTACATACACATGCATACCCCATAATGAAAATGTTGACATTCTTGACATCATGGTCTAAGATCATTGCAACTTCGTGTGGTGCTTGTTGTTGTCACAAGCCAATAATCTCATCTTCCTTCAAGTACACTAGTAATAAAAGAAGCCACCATATTTTGAAGACTGAATGAAGAGGACTGAAACCAACATGTGGTCATGTCAGTGGATTTGTAAACAAAGCAACATGCATCTTTTCCTGGCTTTCCCTTTTCTTAGCTGCAGATTTGTCCCCTGTGCTAAGTGGAGGATTCTAATGGCAAGTTTCTCAAGGAGCTGAGTGCAACAGAATGTAAACATTGCTTGTGGACAGTTCACATAGTTGGTGCAGAGCTCATGCTGATACTAAAAAAACAGGTCATTTCAGGTCATTAGTGGAGACAAACTGTTCAGGAAATGCTGTTACAACATATAAACATCTAATTACATCACCTGCATGAATGTTATCATGCATGCAGCTTTTGAAAATGCAGATATAAATCAGAGATCAGAATCAGGACGTACATACAATGCAGTTCTAAACAGTCTGTATGTGTGTCATTGGTTTCATGACTGTCGTCTGGGTGTTGGTACACACTTGCAGGAAAATACTTTAAGATATGGGAGACTTAAAATGAATATCTCCTTTAAAAAAAAAAGATTAGGAATCTGCTGCCTGATATGCTAATGTTTATGTATAGAGAGAACAACACCATGCATTTTCCCATGAAGCTGACTTTCTTGACTAGTGGCTTTGTTTGGTCATTAACTGGCAGTATCTATTTCCTCAAGACTTAAATTCTTAACACATTTGTTCTTTTACACCTCAGATAACCTCTTTGCAATCTACTGGATGCTAAATTCTTTTCTCACCTATCATTCTTGGCTATCACCCTGGAAGTTGTAGTTCTCCTCCCCCTTTTCTGTCACTTTGGCTACTGCCGGTCGCAGCCTCTGCATGCCACTGGTATTGGTGTCACTATGGAACCTGTCTTGCTGGTTGGCTTAGGCAGTCCCCTCCTTCACAGGAACAGGAGAACATGGCAGAGACGGAGGACAGAGAAACTTTCCCTGAAACCAGCCGAACCAGAAGCCCAATGCCGAAGCGGCAGCTACAAATACATTTACACCGTCTGCCTGATTTTATCCTGCAGGCTGCTCTGTCTCAGCAGTTGCCCTGTTGTCTGGATTGGCCTATGGCACTGTCGCATCCAATGCTGTCGCACCTTTTAACACAGACTCCTAATTCCTGTTCATCACAGGCCACAGCACAGTCTCCTCCAGAACTGTCCGAACATGTAACACAGGACGTTATTTCATGTTCATCACAGGCCATGACACCCAGACCCCCTGACAGACAGACTGATATTTCACCTTCATCACAGGCTAAAACACAGTCCCCATTAGCATTATCCCAACTATTAACACAGACCACTATATCAGAGTCTTCGCCCTCCACCACTCAATTTCCTCCTGAATTGTCCCAGTCTGTAACACTGCGCACTATTTCACATTCATCTCAGGTCTCAACACAGTCTCCTGAAGAATTGTCCCAGCATGTAACACATCCTGCTTCTCCACTTTCATCACATGCCTCAACAGACCATCCACAGAAAACTCTGCGGTTACGTTTGCACCATTTGCCCCAGTCTGTGGTGCAGTCAGCATTAAGCCAACCTATATCAGCATCCTCATTTCAACAGTCTCAGTGCCCACTGCACTCAGCTCAGATAGAGATTTCAAAAAAGTTGTGTTGTCATGAACGCCCAGAGTCTGAGGTGCTGCACCCGGAGGTGTTGACTGAGACATACAGAGCTAACAAAGATGAAACTGTGCCAGTGCCGTCTCAGACTGTTGATCCAGAAACAGACTTGCAGGAGGGCAAACAAGATGAGCAAGAGGACGTACGAGCAGATCCAACTGAAGAGGAGAAGGAGGACATTCCTGTCAAAGGGACAGTGCGGAAAAACTGTCCAACAACTGACACGCAATATGTCCTTCATTCCCAGAATCCTGCAGAGTGTGCATCAGTGAACACCCTGACGGGGTTAACTAATGGACTTCCCCATAAGGGCCTGTTGCAGAACAAGCACAAGATCCACGTGGACTTCAAGGTGGGTGTTTGCATTAGAGCTATGTGGCAGGAAAGTTGTTTTACAAATGTCCAGCAAATATTTAGATTTGACAAGTTCCTGTTGGTATAAATAAGAAAATTGCTTTTCTTCTGGTTAATAAGGGTCTCGAGCATTTTCATCCTTTGTAGCTTGTAGTTTGGCTGGTTCCACACATTTTAATTCAAATTTAAAAGCTTGGTCATCTTCAAACTAAAAACTTTTGACTTGCGTCTGTCAGGAGGACTGCGCTGTTCAGAATGTGTGGCTCATGGGCGGCCTCAGTGTCCTCACATCTGTGCCGACCACTCCACAACCTGTCTGTCTGCTCTGCGCCAGTAAAGGGCGACATGAGGTAATTTATATTTTCAATATTCTGTGGCTGAATTCCACTCATTACAAGTGCAGTTGTAAATTAGTCTTTTGCCCCCCCCACAGTTGATCTTCTGCCAGATCTGCTGTGAGCCTTTCCACAGTTTCTGCCTCTCACCGGAGGAGCGCCCCCAGGGGGAGAACAAGGAGAACTGGTGCTGCAGGCGGTGCAAATTTTGTCACGTTTGCGGGCGAAAAAGCAAAAGCACGAAGGTATTTAACCACAGCAGACTCATCACGACATCTACGTATCTGTGATCTTTGCTGAAAACTGAAACAGAAATGTAGTGTCAAGACTTTAGATGAGGTATTATTTGTTATAAAGTGTCATCTTCTATAGACAGCACATAAAGGAAATAACTGCAAGAGTTTATATTTGACAGAGGTTTTAGCCTCTCTGATAACCACAGCTCTCTTTTATTATTTGACCCCTCTCTCTCTCTCTCTCCCTCTCTGTGTGTTTTTTCCTTCTTCTAGCCTGTGTTGCAGTGCAAAAGATGCCAAACCTCCTACCATCCTTCCTGTTTGGGACCAACATACCCTAAACCTATGAACTGCAGCTTGCCATGGGTATTTAATTTAACCTTAATCTTCTTGCATGGTCATTAAAAAAAATTCACAAATGTCTTAAAATGTTAAATGGTACTTTTATCCACTTAAAACCTTAATTTAAAAAAGTTAGTACAAAGTAACAGTTCATCAAGAAACTCGGAGGAATAATCCTCTTTGGACTTTCTGTGTGCTATTTTCTAACTTTGTTGTGTTTGTGTAGGTGTGCATGACATGCATTCGGTGTAAAAGCTGCGGTGTGACTCCTGGAAAGTCCTGGGACTTGTCCTGGAACCATGAGCAGGATCTGTGCCCCGACTGCACTTCTCTCCACAATAAAGGTAAAGACCAAAGACAGACAGCAGTGTTTCCTGAAGTCTTCAGAGTGTGGATTAAATGACTTTGTTATGAGCTAACCAAACAAGTCCAGTGTTGCTCAGAGAGATGACTTGGATTTGTACTACCTGTATACACTGTTAGTTTTGTATTTGTGTGACACTAATTATTTTAATATCATCAGGTAATTTTTGTACGGTCTGCCACAAGTGCTACAACGACAGCAGCCAACACGCACAGATGATTCAGTGTTCAGAATGCAGCCACTGGATTCATTACAAATGTGAAGGACTTTCGGGTGAGTAATGTTTATTTATAAATGGGCTTTAATTCAAACCAAAAATGAAATAAATACGTAAAGAATAGACACATAGAAAGATGTAGTACATAGTTTTATTGTAGGTCTAATCTTAACCAAATGTTCAACATGATTTATAGTCTTTAAAAAGTTAATATATTACTGATAACTGGATAGTATTTCTGAAGACGCATCATACAACATTAACCCAATCTTATATTTAAAAAAAAAAATCTTTCTATGTGTTATCTGTGTGATTGCAGAGGAGCTGTGTGGTTTGCTGTCGAGCCAACCAGAGGAGATGGATTTCACTTGTTCACCCTGCAGCCAGCACCAGAGTGAACACAGCTGCTTGAAGGAGGAGCTGCAGATCAGGCTGATCGCCGGGCTTGAGATGGTGCTCACTGACCTCCTCTCCAATGATACCACCAAGCACCTACTTATCTGTGAAGCGGTAAGAGATAGTGCAGCCACTGGTGCCTATGAATATCAGTTTATGTAATAAAAAAAAAAAATTCAGCTGTTTTATTTAACGTGGTTATCTTTGTCTTTCAGTGTCGGAAAACAAACGACTCAGGGTTTTTTAGGGAACAGCGACCAGTCTGTGATCTGCAAGTGATGGAGAAGAAGTTTGAAGAGGGAGGGTACACCTCAATAGTGAGTTTATTCTTCGTTATAATCTGATTGTTCTGTTATTCACTCACCACATTTAGCTCAGTAAAATCGATGAAAATAGGCAATTTTACAAAGTTATGACAGTAATTTTTTAAAACTCACTTTTGTTTGATGCTCTGGATCAAACTCTTGACCCCCTTTTATTTTTTTTCTCACCTACTCAGAAAGCGTTCCATACAGATGTCATCTCTGTGATGAGGAGGCGGCTGAAGGAGGAAGAGCTTTTCCCTGAGGATCAGAGGCCAACTACTCAGGCTGAGGCACACTATGTCAAAGTAAGCTTACCTCTAAAACTAAAACTTAATAGTTTATTCTGAAGTAATGTCCAAGAATAGACACTGTCCTTCACAATTTAACAAATGTTTTCCTCTCATCTTACATTTCTTACTTCTGACAGTTGTTGGAGCAGATTTTCACTTGGTTTCCTTCACCTATTCTAAAGACATGGAACTTATTCTCTGATGAATTTCCAAGGTAAATGTTTCCACATGAGTGTTATAGTATAGTTGAAGCTTTAGGTGTTCATGCTAAATGAATGTGATTTAAATAGATACTGAGGACTTTGTCATAGATTGAGAGCTGTTTCAAATCGCTCCTCTGTTTCACTGTTCATCTCCTTCACTGTACAGTGGCATGCTCCCTGAGGCCGTCCTTCCACCATCTAAGGAGCACAGCTATGCACAGTGGCTGGAGAGGACATACCAGCTCGAGGAGTCCAGGGGCCCACCAGTGGGAAAATCTGACTCTCTGCTATCCTCACTCACTACACAGCAGTGTGGTGCATCCCACAGCCTCCCTCTGCATTCACATGGTATGGAAACTGCTGTTGTCTGTTCTGTATCATTTCAGGAATGTGATCTTAGCCAGAACCTCTCAACATACAGTCACAGTGGATTTGATCCTGAGTCGAAGATCACATCGGTGCAGTTTACCGCACTTTTAAAAGCAAAAAGAATGTTGTATATTTTAGCTGTATTAATGTATTAAAGTTGTTTTTCTCTAGTTTCAAACCTGTGTTCATTTGGTTCTCTCCCCTCACAGGTGTAAAGGTGAAATCTATCAGGACTGGAGATGTGAGGCAGTGTGCACTGTGCCAACAATATGGAGACTCTGCTCCTGCAGTGAGTTGATTCACAATCATTGTTGTTTTCTTTACCTTAGAACTGGCTCTTCATATTTAAATACTTTATATTTACTTCATGAGCACGTCCTCCATACGGAGATCACCATGTTTTTTACGTTAACCCAAACTAAACCCCTTTTGAGTTTTTATAACGACTGACGCTACCACAGGTTCTCTTTAGGCAGAGGGAGGGTGAGGTGACGGGTATTCAGCTGCAACAAGACTCTTCACCCACTAAACCTTTAAGAAACCTTTAAATTCAGTAAAAAACAATAATAACAGATAATCAATACTGTAGCAAATTAATCAAGGAGTCGTTTTAACACCCTTCAGTGTTTTTCACACACAGAGTCAAATCTTTGAAACAAGCTAGCTTATATTTCAGCTGTCCTGGGTTGACTGCTCAATGTTGCTCATATAAACATGGTCATTGTCTGCTGTTCATTGAGTGATCTGAATGTGATTTTCCTGACAGGATGCGGGACGGCTGTTATACTTGGGGCAGAATGAATGGGCGCACATTAACTGCTGCCTTTGGTCTGCAGAGGTGTATGAGGACAACGGTGCTCTTTTGCAAGTGCACAGTGCTGTCTCAAGAGGGCGCCACCTGGTAAGCTGTTGTCTGGACATTTGTTAATACAGCTCCAAGTGTTCCAGTTTGCACAAGTTGCATAACTCCGTGACAAACTTGTATGTGTTTATTAACTTGAATGTTTTTGTCCTTCATTCTCCAGCGCTGTGATCGCTGTGGACAGTCAGGGGCGACTGTGGGCTGCTGTCTCGCCACCTGCCAGAGTAATTTCCATTTCATGTGTGCTCGTGCCCAGAGCTGTGTGTTTCAGCAGGACAGGAAGATGTACTGCTGCAAACACAGGGATCTTGTCAGTGCAAAGGTATGAACACAGTTTCCTCTAATCTCTTTCTGATTACCTGTTAAATGTTTGTGCGTTGTACTGATGTATGATTTACTGTGCCTCTACAGGTGGTTTCTGGGGAAGGGTTTGAAGTCCCTCGACGGGTGTACGTAGACTTTGAGGGGATTACATTCAGAAGAAAGTTCCTCACGGGCCTAGAGCCAGAAACCATAAACATGACCATAGGTAAACATATCTGGGTGTTGGGTCTTGACTACAGTACTGAGGTTGTGTCTTCATCAGGACAATATGCTCAACCCCATCATTCATTTTTTTTTTTCCAGGCTCTTTGCAGATTCAGAAACTTGGTGTGTTGACAGAGCTGTCCTCTAATGGGAGAATGCTGTATCCTGTCGGCTATCAGTAAGTGGCCATTGTCATTATAAAGCCATACTCAGGTAATTTAAGAGTGGTTTAGGGAGTCTGCTGCTGCTGTAGCATCCTTATTGTTCTCAAAATGACAAATCCATTTATTCTTTAGATGTTCTCGGTTGTACTGGAGCACTGTGGACCCCCGCAGGCGCTGTAAGTACACCTGTAAGGTGACAGAAGTGAGCACTCCTCTCCCCGGTGAGGAACAGGATCTGAGATGGGACAAGGAGGAGAATCACACCATCGTCCACAGTCCCAAACACCACAGAGGTGAGGAGGACTGTACAGATTGAACTATTAACACTGAGAGCAGTGACACAATTAAAACAGTAAAGATTTTACTGAAAACTGTCTATATCAGCACATTTGTGTTTTCTTCTTTGAAAGATATGGAGTCTCCAGATCATTTGAGCTCCTCTTCCAGCCCGATAAAGTCCACTACCCCATCACCCAACTCTAAAGTGCACAACACACCTGGGTCCAAAAGTCCTGGTTATACACAGACCAGAAGACCAGCAGGAGGATCATCCCGACCTCTCCCATCACCAGGTAAATGTTTAGACACACATTTTTACTTGTTTTGATCATTTATTCTTGCAAATGCATTTTCTGCATGTTAGATGTGCTTTATCTTTGTGTATTCACTCACTCTTGTCGTTTATTTTTTGCTTTCAGGATCCGCTCCCCCCAAATCTCATCACATCCTGACACTGAGGGATCTGGAGGAAACCCGTCGGCCTCGCAGACTCTCATCGAGAAGCCGCTGTAGCTCCTCCCCAACAGACAGTGATCCAACTGTTCCGATGACTCTCCGCTCAGGGGGCACTGTCCATTCCAGATGTGCACTGTTCAATTCCCCACCAAGGTCATCAAGTGCTGCACCTGTCTCACCTCCTCTGTCACAACAAAACTCCACATCACCTGTATGGAGCTCCCCGCCTAGATCCAACTCCAGCATCACTACAGGGATGTCACCTCGGCAAGCAGTCATCACGCACTCCCCCAAAGGGAGACAGAGCTTTAAAATCACCACTCCGGTCTCTGCGGAGGTTCCCCATGACTTCCTGGCATCGTCCGAGGCAGAAGACGCAGCCGTGGCCACAACCAACGGGATCTCACTCGCCCCTGAAAACTTGGAAGAGGAAGTTGCCAGCCTGATGTCCCAGGAGCTGCCTTATACTGTGTTCGACACTGACACAGAGGTGGCAGTGGCCTCCATGCTGAATGCGAAGCTTGAGTTCGATGAAGCTCTGCTCACGGAGAATGTGGTGCTTCACTGCGGAGCACACGGCGGTAGAGGAGAGGTGGAAGGTGCAGTGCAGGATGTGGAAATGCAGGAACAGAATCAGGAGAATGACTCTGAAGATGAAGACTCAAGCCATTACTTAAAGTTTTCTCGTACTGTGGTGTGTGAAGCAGCGAGTGGCTCCGATGCCTCTGGTCAGCTCCCCTCAGCACAGTCGATCTCACAGTTGGATGGAGCAGACAGCGGGTCAGAGAGCGATGAAAGTGAAGTGAGCAGCGATGAAGCGCCGGACACTAAAATCCACACCAATAATAAAAATACACCAACTAAACAGCTGACCATTGCTCTCAAGAGGCTGGAGTCGATTTACACTGTGTCACACTCGACAGTCCAACAAGCAACAACTCAGCCAGAGATTCAAGAAAACCTACCACCGTCTGCACTTCTCGAGTCAGATTACGCAGAGGATGACACTTCGCTTCAGGAGGAAGAGGTCCCCATGAGCTCAGATATGCTAGCATCTCAAAATGAGGTGTTTTTGGATTCAACTACAGGCCATTTTATTTCTGCTGACGACGGCTCTATAGTTTACCCAAGTACCATTGAAGAAGATAAAGAGGACACTACCTCATCAGCTGACTCAGTTGAAGGATATAAAGATGATTTAAACGACCCCGACTACTCGCCAGAATCTACAACCAAAAAATCTCCTATAATGATGAAAACCTTCGTTATGAAGACAAAACATCCCACACCACACCTCAAACACTTCTCGCCAAAACCATGTCTGCAGCCAGAGCATAATTTCAAACTTCTGTTGCCCCATCAGGCAGAAAGTAATGTGTCTGTTTCACCTGCTGCTGCCACTTTGTGTGCAGTCCCACGCACAGTCACATCTCCCATTATGATCAATGGTTTAAATGCTTTACCTGTGCAGCCTGGTGCCAAACATAGAACCTTCGCCATCCGCCTAAACAACTCCAGACCGGGAAGTCAGCAGCAGCAGGCAGGGACTGCCAGTCAGGCTGCAGCTTCTAACTCCTCCTCGACCCCGGCCGCAGCTCCTGTCCCTCAAGTCTTGCTGGTCAACCGCCAAGGACAGATTCTCGTCAAAGACCCGAAATCAAACACTTACCAGTCTCTCGATTCAAATTCTCCTGCTTACGCTAAGATAAGCCAGATAGCCAAGCTTCTCCACAGTCGTAACACTTTGCAGCGCTCTGTCCCTCGTGTTATCATAAAGCCTCGCTCCAACCTCTCTGCCACAAACGCCCCTCCTGCCAGTAACCACACACCAACAACAACCGAGAGAAAAATCATCGTCAGAGTGATGCCTGTGAAAAACAGCGGGGCTCCCACAGCTCCTGTTAGAGTGCACAATGCTCCTGATACTAGTTTCTCCAACATGGAAGAAAGCACAGCTCAGGCCATCATCGACAGAGCCATGGCGACGCACCGCGACTCGTCAAGGACAAAACCAAACATACTCAGTCACATTCGGCAGCCAAAGGCTAGAGTGTCCCAGTTTCAGGACGCAGAGAACTCGGATCAGTCTCCAGCTGCACGCTCAGAGTCTCCCAGTGGTTTAATCTGTGAACCAAATTTGAACTTGCAACCAAAAGCTGCCTCATCACGCCACCAGGAGAAAGTTAAGAGAGTCTTAACAACTGAAAAGCCCTCAAAGAAGAAATCCAAGATTGACTTCTTGATGGATACAGCAAGTGAGCTGGATAAGGTTAATGAAGCCAGGTATGGGAAGATTTCTAATTCTTTTCTTGACTGATTCCTTACTGGGCCATGAGAGTTAAAAGCCTAAATATAAAATACGTTGTGTTGATTTCATGCAGCAGATTGAGTGGTGTGAGAATAAAAGCTCCGAGCACGAAAGACGTTTTCGATCTAGATCAGGAGAACACTTCTGAGCTGCTGAGAATCCCTGCTCCACCTCTGCCCCAACCCTCTAGGTTTGTTCCACATCAAACATTCTCATTTATAGTCTTGTTACTATTCTAACAGATGTTTACACAACTCTATTCTAACATAAGTAGAATAAATATTCAGGACAGCTTATAAGTTTAAAGAGTGCATTAGCAATATATACAAAATTTTTGTACACTAATAAAAAACTTTTTTGCCTCATCTTTCTCCTCAGACAATCTCAGGTTGAGAGTTCATCCACACAAACCAACACACAGAGCGACGAGAGTAAAACACACATGTGGGTCAGCGCTCGCCATTGTGACCTGTCTGAATGGGGCCCTTATACAGGTTTGTGACAAAA